TGTCCCGCCACTGTGGTGAAACGGATTCTTGCGGCTCGTTGTCTGTTGTGTGAACAGGATCGATGGTGGACCGGATCTAAGAACAAGCGGCATTACGTGATTCATTGGGGAAAGGCCATTCGTGATCCAGTTCAGGCGCAGAGGCTAAAGAATAATTGGGGAAGAATCGGAAGATTGGTTACGCATGTCGAGATGAATTTGGATGCTTTGGTGGATGATAATAAAAAGAAGAAGAGTCATCACAATCACAATAAGAAGAAGCCAAAAGATATTGAGATTATCATCATTTCTTCGGATAGTGATAATGACGGAGACGAGGACGATGATAACAGCACTAATAGCAAGAATAATAACAATAATAATAGTGAATATAACAATGGAAATAATAATTACGAAGAGGAAGAATGCAGGAATTATGAAATGGAAGAACACGGGGCAATAAAAATTAGTGAATCATCTTTATCACCTTCGTCAACTTCGTCGTCATTACCCTTTTCATTGTCACCTTCTTCCTCGAAAGGAAGCAGCATCTATCAACCGAGTAGTAGCGGGGATTATGGCGAGGATGACGACGAGGAAATTGATATTGAATCTTGTTCGGTGAAGTCGGACGTGACAATGATGGATTCTGAATGAATAAATGAAACATAAATAGAGAAAAAAGACACGAACACTATTGAAATTATTTCTTTGCTGCAATATTTTCTTTTTTTACCTTTTCTTTTTTTTGGCTTATTCTTTTTCTTCCTCCTTAATAGTAATAATAGCAGTAATATAGTGTTAATACATGACACATAGTTGATATCAATTAATGATAACAGTAACAATCTTATTCTCGGGTAGTAAAGTGCGATCCGCCCAATACACAATTTTTTCTTTTAGAGCCAATTTAGTTGCATGAATCAAATTCCACTAGTCTAAAAATAGCTTAACTCCAAGACTTTTGAAAACACAAAGCAAATAAAAAGTAAAGATTAGTAGCTTTTTTGTGCTTTTCTTTTCTGGGTAACATAACTGGTTTCGCGTAAGTCTGAATACCTAAATACGCGCATCTCGTGTGAACTGTACTGCAATGTAATGTAATGTAAAACGTACACTAATGTAGATTCTGATGATCTTAGGGTAAAATTTTTTTTTTATTTATTTACGATCTATATTTTTGTTTGTATATACATATTTTTTTTTAATTAATGAGTGTGTGTGTGAGATTACAGAATTTTCCATACAAAAGAATCTTGCATTGCTCGACAAATTATCGATGATTGCACTTTACCACCGCACTGCGTGGGATGACAAAATTACCTAATTTTTTTCTACCACTGCGATCGAAATCGTTCCAACCATATATTTTATATTAAAACGAAAAATGCTATTTCAATCATTCGCTCGCATTACAAAGCAATTCGACAAATTCACGGCAAAAATCTCAAATTTGTCATTAACGTGTGCTTACTCATCAATAAGTTTATTTTACCGTAAAGACAATCTTCACCACCATCGACGCCACTATGCAACAAAGAAACAGACTGGACCACCACCTGGAGTCCGTGGCGCCCAGCCCTCACACATGACGGACACACGCTACGAGATAATCAAAAAAATCCTATTCGAGAACAAAAAAAGCCAACTACCAACATTAACACCCCATGACCGAGAAATGCACGAGACAATAGAGCGCGCATGGAAACTTTTTCTCCGTAATAAACGTCATGCGCGTAGTTTAGAAATGCGTGCGAAATATCGTATGATGCGTAAAGCCAATTTAGAGCTTGAGAAGTTGGATCCTCGGTTATTTAAAGTTTCGCTGAACGTCCATCATGATGATCGCTTGTTTCCGAAAAAGATGAAGGTTCCTACGGAGACTCCCTCTTTGTCCGGGTGGAATTATGATTATGTCCATGTTGAGGAGGAACAAAAGTTGAAGAGTGTGGTTGGTGGTGATGATGAGGATTCGAAATAGAGTTGAGAGAGCAAAGAATCGAGTGTTGATAATACTTAATCACTTGAACATTTGATGTTTTGCCTTTTTATACTAATCGTTTTTTGTAGAGGATTCAGTTTGAAAGGCAACGTATTAAACAAACAAAAATATACGTCAAAAATCGCATTTTGTAGCCAGCTTAGATTTATATTATTAATTCGGTGCAGCAAACCTTTTTCATTTTCATTTTTAATCTTGGAGAATCCCATCTATCAAAAATTTACAAGAATAATAAATAATATAGCTAAATTCTTTTTGCGATGGGAATATAATATTATATGCGGGTGTGTATATATGTATATGTAAAAGAGGGAAAGTAAAGCAAAATAAATAAAGCCAAGGATTTCATTCAAAAAGTAATTACAACTTTTTTTTTGAAAATTTACCGCCTCATTTTATATTAATCACAAATAGAAATAAAATGGTAAAATAAGTAAAAAAAAAATTACTGTCCATAATTCCTATATAGAATATCGTAATGACCAGGTCTATACAACAACACCAATGGTTTGGACGGGACAGTGTCGTGCTGTTGATCCATTGTCTCTGGATAAAACTCATGGAAATTGACCTCTTCCAACGCATTAGAACCACTCATGTACGCAATCTCTACTGGAACTTTGAGGGCACGGGTTAACACGATCACGTGTATATGATCAGCTTCTTGGTCCATTACTTCGACATGTTGGTTACAGTATCTCTCCATGCCAATATCCATTTCAAGGAATGGTTCGAATTCATCCTTGTGTAGCTTTAAATATGCTGCGGTCACAAGCCGAAGATAGTAGACGATGGAATTGGATATGCGGTCAGTTTGAAAGACCGATAGCAAAGTATCGAGATCGTGCGTATCTTCCACGATTTTTTGCAGCTCTGTTTCGACTTCATGATGAAAATCCTCATATACATATTTTTGGTAACCTGCTTGTTCAAGAATTGGTAAAGTGTCGTTGAGTGATTTAAGCGCGTTCTGCCGTAAGGTTGGTTGCTTGGATACCAAAAGTCTTTCGAACCAAGCAAAAGAAAAAGCTAAAATTAATGAGAAAAAATGATTTGTAGATCACACGATATTTATGAAATAATCAATTTTTCCTAGAATGAATTAGCGAATACCTCGATAAAAACAGTTGCCATCCCCTCGACATCGCCTTATTTTTCCATGTCGAGCAGCTAATTTCTATTCAATGTTAACCAATCAAGCCAACCGATTAATTAAGATGTTTATTATTGTATCGTCAAATATCTAAATGAAAAGCGAACCTTAATCTTATGTTTATACACTTCACTTCCATGTTGATACTCATCAAACAGCTTTCCAATAGGTTCTTCGAGACATACCAATGGCATCCGTTTAGCTTCTTCTTCTTTAATCGATTGTTCATATGCGAAATTCTGCTCAAACATTGTTCGCTCTTGATCTGATTGGGAAATATTCTCACTCGTCTGAGTGGCGGTCGAGACAGAGTTTTGCTGCTGTTGCTGTTGTTCTTGTGAAGTTGTTTGTTCGCCGGTCGTTGCATCAGTATCGTGTTGTGGTTGTTGTGTCTGCGGCGGTTGTTGGTCAGGGAGTGTTTGTTGGTCAGGGAGTGTTTGTTGGTCGGGAAGTATTTGTTGGTCAGGGCGTGGCTGTTGGTCATGGTGTTGTGGAGCGTTATCAGGAACAACGGCTTGATTTGCAGTAGACTCTTTATTCTCACCTGTTTCTTCGTTTTTTACATTTAGCGATTGCTCTTGCTCTTGATTATCTCCACCAGTTTCTTCGTTTTTTACATTTAGCGATTGCTCTTGCTCTTGATTATTTCCAATATTTTCTTCATTTTTTACATTTAGCGATTGCTCTTGCTCTTGATTATTTCCAATATTTTCTGTTGTTGTCTGTGTACTAGCATGCGGTTCACCCGTATTGTCTTCCTTCTCAATTGGATCAGTTACTACATTATTATCATTGGCGGTTTCTACTGTTTCTGAACTGGGATCTGGGATAATTTTTTCTTTGTTTTCGAGTTCAGCCTGTTCTTGAGTTGAAGAATTGATTTCGTCGCCGCCACCCATTTTGTCTTTTTGATAATTTGAAGAAGAAAGCAAGCAAGGTTTAAAAGTATATCGTTAAGATTAACGTTAATATATAATACGCACACGCATCATCAGGTTTCATGCGTAATCAATCATCATCCATCCAATCGGGCCGCGCCACTAAAAAAAAATATCACGCATTATGACGCGTAATTAAATCTAGGGTATGAACAATGATGGGATTTTACTATGCCGCATCTAGACGTGTTCTTTCTGTTGCAGCACAACCTCGAATCTCGATAGTCAATAGTATCAATAGTATACCAAGAACCTCAACAAGTCATTTACGTGGCCAAGAAACGCTTTGTTATTTTCCGTTAGTTGGATGCTTTATACAACAGAAATATCAAACACGTCTATTTGCTTCAAAGAAGAAGCAAGGAAAAGGAGGAAAAAAAGGGAAAAAAGGGCACGAAAGTAGTGATAGTGATGACGATTATGAAGAAGACGAGGAAGGGGAAGGAGGAGAAGAGACTTCGGAAGTCGTAAAAGATAAAAAAGCAAAAAAAGGAAAATCCAAAGAATCGAAAAAAAGTGTTTCCCCGTCAACTACAACTAAAACAGCAGCAACAACAAAAATAAAAGCAAAAACTAGTAAAAATGATAGTGATAATGATGATGATGATGATGAAGGAAAATTCGATTTAAGTAAACTGGAAAGTAAAATGAATGTTGTCGTGGATCGTCTAAAAAAAGAGTATAGTACAATGAGATTAGGACGCGCGAATCCTGGTATATATATATATCTTTCTCTTTCTCATTAATTGTATATTTTTTTAATTTATTATATTAATGATTTCTTTGATGGTAATTAGCTATTCTTGACTCTGTGACCGTTCCTTATCAGGGTGGTCATGCATCATTGCAAGATCTTGCGCAAGTGACCATAAAGGATCCACAAAATTTGATGTTGAATGTTCATGATGAAGAGGTTGTATTTTTGTGTTGACTTAATCGATCGTTCCTTTGACAAAACTAGTCGTAATTATTACTCATCTGACTGACTAAACTTGAAAATTAATCCAGTTAATAAAAGATGTCCAAAAAGCAATTCTAACTGCGAATCTCAATTTAACTCCGATACTAGATGGAAAAGGGATAAAAGTTCAAATTCCCAAGCAAGTTTATGAAATTGATTTCCTATTCATTCTAATAATAATAATAATAATAATAATGATAATAATAATAGTGATAATAATATATTCCATAAATCTAAAATGTGGCAGAATAATAATGTGAAATTTGAGTGACTCGATTCTTTATTTTTTTTGTATTGTAGAATTACAAAGGAACATCGTGAAGAAATGATAAAAGTCGCGTCGAAAATTGCCGAGAATTCAAAGATCAAATTAAGAAGCATAAGACAAGATGGGATTAGAGGTTTGAAGAATGATACGCGGCTAAAGTATTTCACCATGGATGAATCCGTGAAAATGGAAAAGAAGGTATTTTTTATGTTTTTTTATATGTGTTATTATATTGAGATAATCGAATAGGCAATTGACGGTAATTCATTGGTGACAGGTTCAAGCGGTAGTCGATAAAATATCTAAAACCATCGATGAAGTATTAAAAGCAAAAACCAAAGAAATCTCTGGAACATAGAAATAAAATTTAATTTTATGCCTCAAAATTTCTGTATTAATTTACTTTTGTACCTCTCATTTCAACACGCGAATGCAACATTACACACATCAAAAATTTCAAGAAAGTAAAAAATGTTACATGTTGGTGGATAAACATAATGACTTTTACGTACCAAAAATGGTCATTCGATTGGTCGCACCTGCACAATTAATCAAATTTTCCTCGCTAATTGGTCAATTCATATGCAGCATTCCATTAATCTGATTATTGTTTAACGTGTGTTAGTTTTTTTCGAGCGGCAATTTCAAAATACATTTTTTTCATACTTCCTTTCGCTGTCTTTCGCGCACACGCAGACAAATACACACTCAATCAAAAACGTTTACCGGGGAATTCTCGACCCATTCGCCTCTCCTTTGAAACATTTACCTCATAGAAACTATTAGAAATACACATTTTAGAAAATATAATAGATAATAATGTCTCCAAGTGCAGTCACACCTGCTAATGGCATCGGTATCGCCAACTTACCAAACCAAAGACACAAGATTGTCGCTAAACGCGGAACAAACTTCACACTCATGGTTGTTGGTGAGTATATCTTTTCTTATAGATTTGGTCATCGACTATCGCAAAAAAAGAAACAGTTACGGTTGACACGAAAAAACAAGATACGATGCTTTCATCTCATTTACACACTTGCGATTATTTTCTTTAATTTTTGACCTCCTATTTATACATTAATGATACAGGCGAGTCTGGGCTTGGCAAGACAACTTTCATCAATACCCTCTTTACCACTACCATCAAGGAAAAAAAGAACCAAGCTAAACGTCACGCAAAACAAACCGATAAGACAGTAGAAATTGAAATAACAAAAGCGGGTGTGTTAATGTTCTATTTATTATCAATAAAATATCGTTATTCTTTCCTTTTGGGAATGAAAAAAGAATAATTAATCTCTTCAATAATTTATCACGTGTTACCTTCCTTTTTTTATACCCTTTTGTTCGATGCAGAGTTAGAAGAGAAGAAGTTCAATGTAAAATTGACCGTTATCGACACTCCTGGGTTCGGCGACTATGTTAATAATCGTGATAGCTGGCTACCGATTGTCGAATTTATCGATGATCAGCATGAGTCATATATGCGCCAGGAGCAGCAACCACTTCGTAAAGAGAAATTAGATTTACGTGTTCACGCTTGTCTGTACTTTATCCGTCCAACTGGGCATACGTGAGTTTTTCAAATACAGAGAAAATTTTTTTTTGTACGGATAAATCGAAAGAATTTTTAATGGATTTTTTTGTTTAGCCTTAAACCGTTAGACATTGAGATCATGAAACGTTTAGGTTCTCGTGTCAATCTCATTCCGGTGATCGCGAAAGCCGACACTCTTACACCAGCTGATTTGGAGAAATTTAAGAGACGCGTATGTAGTAATAACCATGTTAAATTTTGTATTCTTTATGATAACTCTATATATATTATAGGTCAGAGAAGTGATTGCCGCTCAAAGCATTCAAGTTTATCAATGTCCAATTGAAAGTGATGACGAGACTAGCACCAAACGTAACATGAACATCATGGTATGCAAGAATATCAATTTCTTTAGTTTTTTATTTGTTTATTTTTATGTACCAATATAATCTGTTCGTTTTTTTGCAAATTATAGGCAGCAATGCCATTCGCGGTTATTGGTAGCGACCAAGATGTAGTTACCCCCGATGGTCGCAAAGTTAAAGGTAGACAATATAGCTGGGGTGTGGCCGAAGTTGAGAATGAAGAACATTGTGATTTCAAGAAACTTCGCAGTCTTGTAATTAGGTATGGTATTTTGCAATTTTTTAGCGTTTATTGATAAGTTAATTAATCCATAATTATTTTGCAATCTACGTATATTATTTTGTTAATCTATAAATCAATTTTTTTCGATTTGTCTAATCAAAAGGACACATATGTTGGATCTTGTATCTACCACCGAAGAGATACATTACGAAAACTATCGTCAGTCCCAGATGGAAACCAGAAAGTTTGGCGAAGCAAAGTGAGAATTTGTTTTTTATCATAGCTATTTTCCTTTAATTGTAAGATAACTAATAAATAATATTTATCAGACCAAAGAAACTCGATAATCCTAAATTCAAGGAGGAGGAAGAGTCTCTTCGTAAACGATTTACTGAACAAGTTAAATTAGAAGAAAACCGTTTCCGACAATGGGAGCAACATGTATGTATCCATTCATTTTTTTATTAATTT